GAGCCCCGGGCCGAGCGTGAGGACCGGGCTGCCTTGCACGGGTGCTGCGGTGGGGGTCTGCTCTCGAACCGCTCCCCGGCTCCGAGCTCACTCCTCGCCTCGGCCTCGCCTTGTGATTCACAGCAGCCCCATCTCCCCCTGCGTTGCCGCCGCCGACTTCCCGGCTCTCATGCCGGCGATGTCCGGACTGATAGCGCGGCGCTGCCCCTCCTCTGCCGGCACGGAGCAGCCGGGAAGGGAGGGTCCGTGGGCAGGCTGCTGCCCTGGGGGTGAGGGGCGGGGCTGCCTGGGACAGCCCGTCGCTGCTGCTGCTGGAGCCGGTCAAACTGCACAGCCACTTCCCCCAGGAGCTTCCCTTTCATCTCCCCGCTCCTGGCGCCTGCAAACAGCCTCAGTTTGTCTGCAGCGGCTCTTGCCCTCCTTCTTCTCCCTTCCCCCCGGCCCCGCTGTAGCTGCAGTCCCGGGAGCCAGGCGCACACTTCCCCGCTGGCCTGGTTCACCAAGCAGCTCCATAGGAGAGAGCTCAGCGCGCGTCTCCAGGGTGGGTGCCCCCCCCCAGCCCCCAGAGCTGTTGCCCACCCCTGTGTGACTTTGCCCCGCAGGAAGGATGGTCTCTCTGTCCGCTCCAGCTGCGCTGGGAAGGTCCCCTGTAGGGAGGCATCCAGCTCGAGCCCCACGAGCATTGAAGGACTGCCAGGCTTGACTGGGAAGCCCGATTTCTCCCTTCTGGGGCCAGGAACCTGGCCTTTTACATGGCGATCAGGAGAAGCGAGGCGTGTTTCCAGGGAGGAGAAATGAAAGACCTGGGCCAAGACTGCAGGCCATGGCTGTCGAATCCCACCTACAGTCAATACAGCAAACCGGGACCGGTTGGATGGGGATGGATTTGGAGTGGCTCCGGCTCCCCCGGCTGGGTGCAGATAGTGGATTCCCACAAGCTCCCCCACACCCAGCTCAGAGGTTTCTTCCTCCACTCTTGGGCTTGGGGAGTTTGTTTCCCCTAACCTCGTATTCTTGCTCCTTCTGGTTTTAAAGCGCTCAGGCACCTGGGCAGAAACACCCCCCACGGCGAGTTAGATGATCCACACCGCAACGCAAGGGGAAAAGCAGTCAAAGCGAATAGTGCAAGAATCCTACGCTTAGAATTGACCATCCAAACTGATGGACACACACACACACACACACACACACACGAGGGACAGACACCTTGGCAGGACACCAGGGTGCGCCCAGGACGGCTTTGCTAATCCCAGAAGGGCTACGTGTATACGGGATCCTATCCACAAACAGTCCTGCCAGCGACTGTATGAAACATCCGTGAGAGGAGGTCTTCTTCCACGGAGCAGATCGAAAGGCACATTCGCTGCCGCAGTGAGATCCCGGCAAAGCCCAGTGTCGTGCTGGGCCCCAGGGAGCGAGCAGCACTTAAAGGAATGCAAAGCTAGCCTTTCTGCCCATCCGAAGCAATGCACCCAGTGTACTCGGGTCTGGAAAGTGTCACCATGACCTACCCCCCTGCCAGCTCTCATTCTTTTAGCTACAGTTACAGCGGGCATTGACTCGGTGAATACTGTCTAATTATCTGTAGCAGTTCAGCTGATCCACAATGGCCTGCGCCCGCGTTACATTGTTCCTGTATACACACGCATTGTTTCGCTCCTTTCATCAATTCTCATTTACTTGTCACGAGGCAGGGAACATGGAGGGGAAGGGAGAGGAAATGCAAACCGACTGCGGCAAGAACAGCCCGCAAGAGCAGAAAGAGGTGGCCACAGTAGGGAACTTCAAGCGCTCCCCAGCTCCGCTCTCTCCCCGCTTGCACCGCAGAGTTCAGCGGGAGGAGAAAAAGGCCCCTTGGATAGATCTGGGCTGTTCGTTGAAGTAGCAAGAAAGCAGGGCCAGCAATAAAGCCGGCTCACAATCTACGAACCTTTCTACAAGCTGAATGATCTCCATTTCTTTTTTTGCAAGAGCGATGCCTGCTTAGTCCTCCCCCTCCCCGCCACCCATGTTCCCTCCCGTGCAATGTACAGCTTGGCACTTCCCGGGTGCCACTGTTGAAAGTAGCATCAGAGGAGTCCGTGTAACTTTGAATGGCAATGGCTGCCTGCGTAAGTGCACAAGTAATGCATGGGTGTGCGGTGTGTGCCTGCACTGGGTAGCTGCTGGAGTATCTCTATTTATATAGATGCAGTGGATAACGGCTGGAGCAGTGAATACAAGGCGGATCCGGAGCCCAGGTTGCTGCTAACCCAAGGCCCTGTGCTTTTAGTTGGAGAGCACACTCGCTGGGCCAAAGCAGGGGTGAGGGAATAGGGGACAGACCACCCCAGACCAGGCCACGCCAGACAGGAGGGGAAGAGGGCACAGGCTGCAAGAGTTTGTCCCAGGAAGTGCTAAAGGATCCGATTCCAGCTGCAGCTCAAAGGCACTAAACGGTTTGGACTGGGTTATTAACCCGAAAGTTACAGCCCTCCAGCTGAGTTCTTCTGGGTAGTGTCACTAAGCAGCAAGCGCAGGGAAAATGAACCGTTTCACCCTGGACAGAGACACACGTTAGGGGGCCAGGACAGCAAAGGGTGCATAGTTCCCCTCATCTGGGGATCTGCCTCGACAGGGCGCGGTTTTAAAACGTTTGTGGGGACAACTAGAAACTGGGGAAAGGTGTCCCCCCAGACAGCATCACCCCCAACATTTCACACCTGCTTCGCTTCAGAGCTGCGCTGGGGCAGCTGCCCAGCCCCGAGGTTCCCGACCAGTTTCAAACACCAGTTGCCAGCGCGTCCTTAAATAATGATCTTTAGGAGATTAAGCCAGTTAAGAAGAGGGGGGAGCTGATTTGCTTTTATCCTCGCGGTAATTAAGAAAGGCTTTGAAATCCTCCGCGGGTTTCATGCTGCTAGTATGGAGTGGAGGAGCGAGACGGTATTTCAAGCTCCTTCCACGGAGAAGTTTGCCAATTAAGGACTTCATCTCCCGAGCTGATTAAAAACGCATTTATTCCTCAGGATTAAGCCTGCCTGCCATATAGGGGGGCTGGGGAGGAAAATATAAATCAAGGCGATTTGGGGAGAGTGGACTGGAGCTAGATTTGTGCCTTCGCCCCCCAGGAAATACAGCGACACACTGCAAGGGGAAAGGCTCATGGGGGCGAGAGAAACTGGACGGGGAAAACGACCTGTAGGTTGTAGCCGGCGGCCGGGAAAGGGGCGAGATCCGCTCTCCAAGGGCAAGCTGCGCCCGGAGCCGGGCCTGGCTGCATCGCCGGGCCAGGAAAGACCCGGCCAGCCAAACCCTGCTCCTCGCCTTTCCCCACCACGCCTGCAACGCCGCTCGGACCCCGAGGTGCCCGTGTCCTTGTCACAGCTCCGGCATGCTTTTGGGATGCTGGGGACACGAAGCACAAACGTGTCCGGATCGACCTGGATGGGCCGGGATCGGGATCGGGATCGGGACTGAACCGAGTCTCCTTCCCCTCCAGCCATGCGGTGGCATCAGGCCCCAGCAACTGCGGGCAGCTCGGCTGCGGGGCAGGGGGCCCGCGCGGATCGCGGCGCCCCGGGGAAGGCAGGGGCGCGCTGCGCAGTGGCGGGGCTTTGTCGCGGCTCGGGTTGAGGGACACGGCGCAGGGCTGAAAAAAACGGGGCTTAAACTGGGGGGAGACAGACGGGGGGGGGTTGGAGTTGCCTCTTGGTGGGATCAGCCTTCGTTACACCGCCACTTTCTTGCTGGGCCACGATTCCAACCTGGAGGGCTCCTCCATCGCGCAGCCCGGGACATTTACTCCTCATTTCTTTAGAAGTGGGGGGGGGGGGGGGGAACACTACCCAAAGCCACCCCGAGCCAATCGCATGAGTCACACCTTGACGTCAGCCCCGGCGGCTGCTCCCATTGGCTCGCTGGGCTTGACTCAACTTCCCAAAGGAGGAAACCCCCGTCTGCACCCAAAAGGGGGGGGGGGCGAAAGTTGCTCAGTCGCGGGAGCTGGTGGGTCCCGGAGCGGCGAGCGGCAGCGGCGGGGCCCGGATCGGAGCTCGGGGCAGGGCAGGGCTCGGCGGGGCGCGGGGAGAGCAGCGATGTCTTCTCCTCCCAAGGCGAAGGAGGTTTTCTCCTCGGACGAGGAGGGCCCGGCGGCCGGCGCCGAGGATCACGCCAAAGTCAAAGTCTCCAGCCTGCCTTTCAGCGTGGAAGCGCTCATGTCCGACAAGAAGCCCCCCCGAGAGGTGCCCCCGGGCCCCGGCGACGGAGCCGCGGCGGTGGGCACCTCCAGGACCCTGCTGCTGCCCGGGCACGGCTCCAGGGAGGCTCCCAGCCCCGGGGGGCTTACAAAAACCTTTGAGACCTCCTCGGTCAAATCGGAGACCTCGGAGGACAGCCCGTCCTGGATCCAGGAGCCCGGGAGATACTCCCCCTCGCCAAGTAAGTGCTGCCCCGAGCGCCGGCCGCGCTCCCGGGACGCCCCCCGCCCGGGTGCCACGGAGCCGATCGGGCTTGTCGGATGGAGAAGCGCCTCGGAGGGGGCGAGGGCTGTGCGGCTGGGAAAGGGAGGGGAGAAGGGAGCGGGGCACCGACTCTGCCCGGCCCGAGCGGCGGCCGTGCCGTGCCGTGCGGCGGGGAGGCCGCAGCCCCGATGCCCCCCGCACGG